CGCCGGGAAGCCGGCTTCTCCAGTACCAGACGCGCCTGGGGGACGTGGTGCGGGCCTACAAGAGCCTGCTGGCCGAGAAGGAAGCCTTGGAAGCCAGCTTGAAAGTCTTGTCCGTGTCCCACGAGACCGACGCGGGCCTGGGTGGCCCCCCGCCCCCGGGCGCTGCCCACTCCGCTGTGTCCCTTGCCGACTGTGCGGATGACCGGAGTTCCGCGCACAGCGAGGACAGCACGGGCACGGCCACCAGTGTGGGGCCTACAAGAGCCTGCTGGCCGAGAAGGAAGCCTTGGAAGCCAGCTTGAAAGTCTTGTCCGTGTCCCACGAGACCGACGCGGGCCTGGGTGGCCCCCCGCCCCCGGGCGCTGCCCACTCCGCTGTGTCCCTTGCCGACTGTGCGGATGACCGGAGTTCCGCGCACAGCGAGGACAGCACGGGCACGGCCACCAGTGTGGACACGGCTGCCAGCTTGGCCAGTGCCAAGGGTGAACTGGGGACAGACGATGAGCGAACCGGAGCTGGGGGGCCCCCCCTGAAATCGGAGGAGGCGAGCGAGTCGGAGAGTGGGGTCAGCACGAGCAGTGGGGATGTGCCAGGCGCGGCTAGTGAGACTGACAAAAGGGTGCTCCAGCTGAAGACTCAACTGGCCACCTTAACCAGCTCCCTGGCTACAGTCACCCAGGAGAAATCCCGCATGGAAGCCTCGTACCAAGCAGACAAGAAAAAGATGAAGCAGGACCTGGATGAGGCCAGTAAAAAGGCTGAGGAAGAGAGGAGCAAGTTGGAGGCAGAGATGAAGTGTGTCCAGGAGCAGCTGGCAGAGACCAAAGCTCGTCTTATTACTCAGCAACATGACCGGGCCCAAGAGCAGAGTGACCATGCCGTGATGCTGCGGGAGCTGCAAAAGCTGCTGCAAGGTGAAAGGACCTTGCGCCAGGATGTGGAGCTAAAGTTGGAGGAGACTAGGGAAGCACTGGCTGGAAGGGTGTACATGGCAGACCGAGTGGAAGAGTCTGAACTGCAGACAAAGCAGCTGAACAGGGTGGTGGAGGAGCTGAAGAGAGAGCTGCAGGCCGTGCAGGAAACGAGCAGCAAGCCAGATCCCAGGCTGCAGGAGCTACAGGAGGAGATGGCCAGCCTCAAGAGTCATTTTCAAGCACAGCTGCTGCAAGAGATGAAAAAGGTAATTCTTTGTTGGTACACCAGGGTGTACTAGCCAACCTATTATATAGGAGGAGAGCATTAGTGAGTACAGAGATTTGTAGTGAGTTTGGGTTGGCATAAATCCTGCGTCTTCATAGGACCATAAATGAGAGAAAAATCTACTGTTCCATTAGAAGGAATTCCTTCTTAATAAGGATTCAAACTGCTGTGCTTCAGGAGCATAGGTCAACCACTGTAGGAGTAGGAAGAAACTTGTTTTATAAGGAACTGTGCCATAATTGTCCATTATAGTTTCATATACCTTCTGAAGCGCATTACCCAGGCCACTGTCAGAGACCAGTGGATAGAGCACTGTTCTAAGCATTGTGGCAGTTCCTGTGACTGTACCTTTGTAAAACTTTTCAAGAGTCTGCAGTGATAGGAGCAGTGCAAATTGAAACTATTCTAATAGAATGAAATAATTGTAATTAGGGATGTGAACGTGTAAATGTGTCATTGACCTTCACAGTTACATGCTTCCTCCCACCCTTTGGTGTGTAAATGTGTAACCACTGAAATTCTCAGCGGTTACACCTTTACCTAAATAAATTCATTTCAACATCCCTAAGTAATGTAGTGTATTACAAACAAACAAACAAACAAACAGCGCTTCCTGTCAGTGGATGCTGAGGTAAATAATTCAGTAAGATAAGGTGAAATGAGAGTGGCTTTTAACTCTCCACCTTCAGGGGCTGAGCTGCTCACCAACTGGGGTCATGAAAAACATCTTTCCTCTTTTCCTGGTACTGCATGGAATAAACAATGAGATGGATTGTAAATCCATAGTATGCCCACTTATTGAATATTCCATATAGATGTGGCCACTTCATCTCAAAAAAGATATATTGGTATTGGAAAGGGTTCAGAAAAGGGCAACAAAAATTATTAGGGGTTTTGGAATGGGTGCTATAAGAAGAGAGATTAAAAAGATGGGGACTTTTCATTTTAGAAACGAGGAGACTAAAGGGGGATATGATAGAGCTCTATAAAATCATGATAGGTATGGAGAAAGTGAATAAGGAAAATGTATTTACTTGTTCCCATAACATAAAAACTAGGGATCACCAAATGAAATTAATAAGTAGCAAGTGGCACTTCAGTCAGGGAATGGGACCTGTCAGTACGAAGCACAGTACCCAGCTCAGAGTGCCTGTGACCCTCCAGCTGGTATGGAGTCCCACAATATAAGAAGTAGGGGTCACCAGGTGAAATTCATAGGCAGCAGGTTTAAAACAAAAGGAAGTTTTTCATCATGCAGCACACAGTCGACCTGTGGAACTCCTTGCCAGAGGATGTGGTGAAGACCAGGACTTAACAGGATTCAAAAAAGAGCTAGATAGATTCATGGAGGTTAGATCCATCAATGGCTGTTAGCCGGGGTGGGTAGGAATGGTGTCCCTAGCCTCTTGTTTGTCTGGATAACAGGAGAGGGATCACATGATGATTCCCTGTTCTGTTCACTCCCTCTGGGGCATCTGGCATTGGCCACTGTTGGAAGACCAGACACTGGGCAGGATGGACCTTTGTTCTGACCCAGTCTGGCCATTCTTATGGATTTTGACTCCCTCCTTGACAGCCAGATACCAAATAGAAGGACCATTGTTTGTTCCCTTGTGAAAGATCCTATGCTGCTATTGGCAATTGCTCCTCAGTGTTGATGGGAGCAACATGATGTCTTGTGCTGTCCTTATAAGTTTCATAGCATTCCTAAAGACGCTCTGCTATTGAGGCCCTTTGTGATCACTCTGTGAAGTTTGACCTGCTGGGGAGGGGAGATAAACAGGGCAAAGGTTTCTCATATGCACGTGGGGGGAGAGATTGGCAGAAACCAGAATATGAAGGAAGAGATCGATGAGTAGATAGTCCCAGATTAGTGGGCCTAGAAGTAATCTCCAATAATTGGATTTGCTGCTGAAAGAATTCCAGAATAAAGTCTCCCAATTCCTCCTTTTAGCATTCCTGAATTCTTTCTTTCCCTCTGGATTTGGCAGTATCTAGAGAATTTCTCCTAGCAGATAACACGTGGGCATTAATTCATTTTTATCGCCAGTCTTGCACTCCTCTCTGGGCTTGTCCTTCGACACTGGCCTCTAGCTAGAGGAGTCCAAGATACTAGTTCTGCAAGATGCTGCAGAGATACCCAGTGCAGTTGGGAGTACTGCATACTTTAGATTACACACAGATTGTGAGAAATCCCATAAGAACACTGGGCCCTGGCAAAATCCATTGCTAGCACACCCCTCGCTGCCAGGAATGGTGTGGCACAGCAGCACTTCTTGCTTGAGAATTGGGAATGCAAATACAAAATTGTTTCTTGTTTCATTTGGTCCTTTTAAAGTTTATCCTTTAAAATATGGGACAGAGTAGCTGTGTAATAGCTCAGATTGATTGAGAGAGAGGAAGGATGGCCCAGAGGGCACGGTGCTAGCCTAGGGCTCAGGAGTCCAATGTTTATTCCTGCCACATTTCCAGAAGTGTAACCTGTCTGACCTCCTTTTGTTTCCAGACTGCACAGGCAGAAGAACAGCTCCGTCAGCATGCCCAGATCGAGTGGCCACCATGGAAAGCCAGGTCTCCGAGGTGTCAGAGCTGCTTGGCACGTATGAAAAAGCCAAACAAAAAGACCAAATGACCATTCAGAAACTAAAGGAACGCATTGTGCAGCTAGACCTGGAAAATAAGACTTTGGCCATCGCTGCTTCCAGCCGATCCCCGGTGGACATTCATGTTGAGGAGACCAGCCTGGATGTTAATGTGCTGAAAGACAAAATGGAGAAGCTGAAGAAGCTGCTGCAGATGGCATCCAAAAACAGTCAACCAGCCCTAGACATAGAGAAGCTCTGTGAGCTGGAGCTGCCAAAGGGCACCGAGGCTGGTGATGGGGAGAAGGCCACTGCTCTGTATTACCAACAAGAGCTGAAGCAACTGAAGGAGGAATTTGAAAGGTACAAGATGAGGGCACAAGTGGTCCTTAAGAATAAGTCAGCCAAAGATGGCAACCTGGCCAAAGAGCTAGAGGACGCTCAGGAACAGCTGGCTGATCTGAAGGAGAAATACGTTGCACTTCGACTTTCCTGCGAAGAGATGGAGAAGCAACATAGGCAAGAAATGGAAGCCAAGAAGCAAGAAGCATCCCTCCTGCAGCAGCTCCACAGGCAAGAGCTAGAGAAGTGCCAGCTGGATTACAGGGAAAGGGCACTAAAGCTGGAGGAAGAGATGCACAAGCAGCGGGACAGAGCACTAGCTGTGCTGTCAGAGAAGGACCAAGAGTTGGAGCAGTTGAGGTCAGTAGCCGTACCTTACGGGCTTCAAGGACCCAAAAACTACCTACCACCAGGCAGTGACATGAGCAGTGATGATTTAATGAGTGCAGTCTCTTCTGAGAACCTCACCCAGGCTCTGCAGCTTGCTGCCACCAATGAGCCCACTTTCTTTCTGTATGCGGAGCAGCTGGCCCGGAAAGGAGTAGAAATTGTAGCCCTGAGGAAACAGAAGCACAAACTGGACGTGGAAGTTCACCAGCTCCAGGAGAGACTTTTGGTTGAGGAGGAGAAGCATAGGGAAGAGGTATCCATCCTTCAAGATCATATCCAGAAAAATGTAAGGGATAAGAGCAGAGAGGGAGCCAACCTGGAATATCTCAAGAACATTGTCTATCGATTCTTGACTTTGCCAAACTCATTGGGCCGTCAGCAGACACTAACTGCCATATTAACTATACTGCACTTCAGTCCAGAGGAGAAGCAAGTTATTATGAGACATTCAGCCAACAGCAGTTGGTGGCTTTCTGGAAAGAGATGAGAACCAGGGTCTTGATCATAACTATTTCTATGGTGACATGTTCCAGTTTCCTGGTTGTATGAGAGGAAACAACTGTGCTACTCAGGATCTCTGCACTAGAGCTATTTGTGTCTGTTAAAGACACAGGAGCCTTCAGCCAAGCACTGGGCTTTTAGACTAGTGCAATTACAGTGGGCCAGAAAACAAACTGTCATCTCTGTAATGCCACTAGGACCACAAGTTTCTATGCCACAAGGATTCATGCTGGGTTAAGACTTCATAGAAAGAAGTTACCACTGAAGATACCAGTATTTTTAATCAAATGTCCTTTTATAACCTGTCAAGTATAGAATGGGGGAAACTTACTAAGTTAGATCACTTGCTTGGGTCTTAAAACTCTACATGGGCTCAAGGCCTAAAAAATAAAAGGAAAAGCACTTAACAGATTGGACAACACTGTGAACCAATCACTTAGCACTTTAAAAAAACACCATGAAGCCAGGGGAGATGAGTCTTAATGACCAATTGCTATCCAGATGTAAAAAAATCCTCCAAGACCACATGAAAGCTGCTAGTGAGTATGTGCGACAGCCATATTTATGTGAGAGTGCAGAATAGCTCCTTAGATTGCTTGGAATAGCGTTAGACACTGGAGAGAATTAAATTCTGTTGAGATAAAAGTACACCTTGTGAATCTTCCAGGTAACCACATGGGGCGGGGGCAGAATGTGAGGGGAAATGCTTTGCCAAGTATTTGAGCCACTGTGCTGAGTAAAGGCTTCATGCCATTTCTTAAACAAAAAGGACGTAGTACCTGTCTCGTCAAGATCAATCTGAGTTTCTAACCTTCTTGGGCAAAGGGGAATCCAGTGTTAAGTGTGTTAGAACCAGGCCAGGTGGTGATGGAAGATTGGGATTGCAACGTGAACTGATCCACAGCAGCCATTTCCTGGGCTTTCAGGGGTTTGTGCAGCATCCTGGATGCTCTTAAACCTACTTGTCTGTTCAGTATTTTTGAGGGGGGCTGCAGCTGTTGATGGCCTTGGAAGAAGCAGTGAAGGATGTGGTGGGAGAAGCAGTCTAAGCAGAGAGCTCTGTACTTACTAGGGAAATACCTGTGCATGTGGGAAGGCTTGGCCCACTGTCGCTTTAATCCAGAGGGTCTGTTGAAACTTCTCCAGGATTAAATGAGAGAGTTTGAAACACTTCTCATTGGTGAACCACTGGAAATACGACATTGGAGATGGTAGCGTTACTGTTCTTTCTGTGCACAGGAGACCTTTGGCAAGACTGCTGGCCACTGCACCCAAGAAGGGCCCGGTGTATGTTTGACTCGCCTGAGAGGACAGTGGCGCTACTCATTTCAGTAGGTGCTGCAGGACTGGCCCCAGAACACATGCCCAGCCGGGAAGGGTTGGGTAGAAGAAGCTCTGGGTTCTGCGTATTGGAGTCTACGGGCTGGCTGAGAATAGTAGGCTGATGAAAGGTATAAGGGGTCCTTTTATTTCCTCAGGCAAACCTCTGCACCAGCTGTCCCAGTCATGTTCTAGAACATGCACCTGCCCAGAGCTGCAAGGCTGCTGAGTAGGCTGGGTCCTGCTCTGTCCGCTCTATGGGAAACATGCCTTTCTAACGTGCAGTGGAAGGCGTAGTCTGCAGGGGCGAAAGGCTTGCTTTGCATGGTGCATATCCAGTGGGAATGTGACCCAGTCCCTTCTCCTTGCCTGTGTTGAGCTACGGAGGCTGAGATATTAAAGAGACGTGCTTGGCTTTCACGGGGGGGGGAGGGACAACTGCCCCAAGGCCAGCCTGGTCAGGAAGTAGGAGCCACTTCAGATGCAAGTGCCACGTTGCTGAGCCTGTATTTTGAGGTACTGAACTAGCAGGGGAAGAGATTGCCCTACCCCTTGTACCTTCTCATTCTCCTCCCCCAGTAATGGTGGCTGCCCAGGTGATGGGCGTGAGCGTAGGCAGGACTCAGCTTTCAGCAAGTACTCTTTCTGGGGAGAAAGCATAGAGGCTGTCTGGGTGCCCTGTGTACCGTTTCCTTTCCATAGTGCATTGGCACATCCTTAGTGGCCCCCTCTAGTCTCTTTTTGTAACCCAGGTCCATAATGATCCTTTCCCTTCAGTCACCTTTGAATTTTAACCAGTGATGGCCTTGTTGTGTAGGTGTAGCAAAGCCTATTGCAGTTGGGGATGTAAAAGTGTAACAGTTTAAATGGTTAACTGATATAAGCTTGAGCTTATCAGTTTCCATAACAGTTAAAAGTCAATTCCCTGCACGGCTGCCGCACATTCTACTGGCTCTGTGTCAGAGCCTGTAGCACAGGGTGGCAGGTCAGCTCCCCAGGAGCCGGCTTAAAAGCCAGCTTCCAGCGTGCACCAGCTGATGCCCCATGCTGCTGGCTCTGTATCAGGGACTGCAGCATGGGGTGACAGCCAGCTCCCTGGGAGTGGGGCTGGCAGCTGGGAGCTGGTGCACTAATTAATTGGCTCCCAGCCTGCACTGGCTCTAGCGGCTGGCCCTGGTCCTGGGGAGCCAGCTGCATTGTAGGCTCTATTATAAGCTTTATACTGCCGGGCCCACAGGGTTTAACATCCCTAGTTTAGATAAGACCTGGTGTATAATTACGGGCCTCAAACACTGGATCGTTAAACTGAGTTTTGATCAGGTTACACAAGGCTTGGTCTGGAGAGTTGAGGATGAGGGCCTGTTCCCAGATGGACACTGGGATCAGATTCGCCTGTCTCTAAGTGGCTTTTATAAAGCCCGTGGGTGATCTCAGAAGCAGCTGTGTGAATGTAGAACATTGGCATGGTTCTAAGCAAGACCTGTGTACTCCGAGCAAGCTGGCCTGAAGGTGCTAGGGTTCTGTAGCACGCTGGAGACCCTGTGGCAACCTCACAGAACTTGTAAAATGGAGGGGTTTAACCAGTTAACTACAAAAGTTACTACATTTAGTACTCTGGCCCCTGTGTTGCCCATCAATAAGTCCCCACCTGCAAAACCACCTGAGGAGTTTGAGACTGTGGTGATCACCCTTCCTGGGTGCTAAAATGCCCAGCAGTAAAATATTGACATTTGAGTTGTTCAGCTTTGGCATCACTAGCACCATATTGAAACCAATGGGGCAGTTTGCATCTTTCAGAGCTGCTTCCTAGACATGTGCTGGAATTGGCACAGTGCTGCATTGTGGTCCTCCACGTGAGCTATGCAGTGCTTTCTAGCTACGCTCAGATGGGAGAAGTGTCGCAGCAAAGATTTCTTGGGAGCAAAAACTTTCTGGGTGACAGACAACTGACGTGTGTGGGGTTACGGAGAGCACGAGCAGTGAAATGTAATAGCCTCCTGCATGTAGGAGCAGGGCAGTACCGGCTAGTCGACCTGTAAACAACAGAGCCACTCTCCAGATTTCAAACACCACTCCTGGAAGAGCCATAACATTTTCAAAGTGCTATGCAACCAGCCCCACTCCTCCATGGTGATCAGTGTTGATAAATTGTGTGGCCAATTGCTCGATCCCATTTTGGTTTGTTATTTCATTCAAGATACACTCAAGACCAAATGACGAATGTCAGTCAGGTTTATTAATACAGTGCAGGATACAGTTTCTATATGATGCAAGTCTCCAAAGAGCAGTCCCCATGCATCAGCGATACCTTATACAGAAGTTGTGTTCCCCAAGCTACATGATCCAGCTGCTAGTTATATTTTTCAAGCTACACAGTTCTTTAGGCATTACTAAAATCTAACTCATCAAGTTTGTTCCAATTCCTGAACATAAATATTCTTTTCCTTTCTTAGCTTTGTTTTGAACACTAGCATTCCAGATAGTGATCCCTGAAGGTCTTTTCGTGGTTTGTACCATGACGAGAATGAATTTTTACAATTTTGACTTTTGACAAGTTTCCTATCAGTTTGTGCCAAATGCTGACTTCAGCAAACTGCAGCTGTTATGCAGTCCTTAGCATACATGAACAGGATTATGGGATAGGCCTGGTTAGGTTATGTCACTTACAGTATTGGCACTTAATGCATGTGTGTGTGTATGAATTCAATATATATGGATTTGCTAATCAGTCTAAATTAGGCCGCATCGGGCAGGCTGTGAGTAACAGATGCCAGCAGACTACTTTTGAGGAGATCCCTGTGCCAGCCATAAAGAGAAGCACCTTGCCTGGGTGACAGACAAAGATCTCACTTTCCATTCTATTCCATTTCAGAAACTGACTGTTAAATGGAAAAACCTCCATGCTCAGCTGCTGTTTGCTCCCTAGAGAACCAAAAATTCCACAGGCAGATTCCGTGTCTGCTGGAAACTTTTTTGGAAAGGGACCAAAAACAAATGCAAAACACTTCATCAGCTGGTGCCAGCAAAAAAGGGGCCGGATAGCTACCCTTCACTGAATGTTGAGCTGCTGGGAACAAAGGAAAGACAGGGCCTCAGTTTCTGACAATCTGGCATCCAAATTCTGCTGTTGCATTGAAGTCTAGTGCAGTTGCTCCAGGTTGCTAGCAATGTAATGGGGAGCAGAATTTGGCCTTGCATGTCTCACCCCCCTAAGAAGTGCAGGTAGTCACTGCTGTGCACTCAGCTGAGAGAGCTAAAGACCTGGTTCCCCTAATATCCAACTTCCTGTTGAGTAGCACCTTTGAAACCAGTGGGGCTACTTGCAAGGTACCGCTCTACCCAGCATACAGAAGGTATGACTGTGCTGGGTCAGATCTATGGTTGGTCTGCCCTGTGTCCTGTCTGCTTACAGTGGCCAAGAAATGGACAGAACAGGTGATGATCAGAATGAGGCCAAGAATTAGAAGGGTGAAGGCGATCTCCACACTGGTAGCTTTATGGCTCTGGCAGCCACTGAGCTTACCTCTGTGGATGAGTTTCCACAGATGGGCCTTGTTTTGCCTCTGCTTGGTGCTTCCTTGGGCAGAACTGTCGAATAAGAGACTGAATAGTGGTTTATCTACCCCACCCTTGTGCTCGATGGCAGGACCGACTTGATGATCCCAAAACAGTGCCTGAGAGATCCTTGCTCTAGCCTAGAAAATCTGCCAGGATGAGGATTCCACATCCTCCCCAGCGGTTTGTTCCTGGGGTGTAGTGCAGCCACTGCTCTGTGTATGAGGACTGGTCCTTGAGAGTCTGTTGACATGTCCAGTTCCATTCAGCTGGGTGTGCTCTAATCTGCCGCAGAACAAGGGCTGCTTTCAGACTCACCAGAGCCAGCAGCAGCACTTGCAGCTCAGTGTCAAAGCAGAAATGGTCCCTGGCTCTCCCCACTGTGCAACCCGCTTGGCGTGTGAATTGCTCTAAACGCAGATGTTTCAACTTACTGACTTGAAATGTTCCCGGTGTCAGCGCTCCGGCAGCGACTTTCTTCAGTCTTGGCTTCTAACACTGATGCGTGGTTGTGAGGGCATGCAGAGCATGGTGGC